AGTAGTTGTTACAATTGTGTTGTTTTAGTTTAAAAAAAATAGCAGTTGTAGTAGTATTTGTAGTAGTTGATGTTGTTGTTGTTGTTGTTGTTGTTGTTGTTGTTGTAGTAGTAGTAGTGGTAGTGGTAGTGCGTCTTATTTGGTTAGTTTTTTTCCGTTAAATGACTGCTTTTAAAAATTTCATCAATGAAAATGGATTAGTCAATTAGTGGATTAGTGAATCTTATCTGATCTACGATTTGTTTGTCAGTTTTATTTTATTTAATAATTTGTTTTATTAATTTACTTGAATCATTGATTCATTGATTGGTCGGTTTGTTGGTTGGTTGTTTGATTGATTGATTGAGTGAGTGAGTGAGTGAGTGAGTGAGTGAGTGAGTGAGTGAGTGAGTGATGGATTAATGGATTAATTAATCAATTAATTAATTAGATTGTTTGTTTTCAATCCATTTCCTCTTGAGTATTACTCCCATTCTCTCTAAATGTTTTTCAATATTTTTAAAAAATTGCTTTTCATATTCATGTTATGGAGATAACAGTAATAGTATAATTGTATTGGTATAATAATAATAATAAAATAATAATAATTATAAAATAATAATAATATTAATAATGATAACAAGTTATATTTTTATCTTGAAACATGGGGTTTTACTCAGGAAAAGTGCTAAGTTTCATTCGTTACTTTAATTTTTTTTTGTGATTACATTTTTTCCCGCTCTTTTGGATTAATGTGTATTTGTGCGTGCGTGCGTGTGTGTATGAGTGGGAGCGAGAGAGAGAGAGAGAGAGAGAGATGGAGATATGAAGAGAGTGAGGAGTGAAGGAGAGAGAGAGGAGTGTGTGTGTGTGTGTGCCAGTATTTTTTTTCTGTCTTCTTCCTTTCATTTAATTTTTGTGATATTTTCATTTCGGTTACTACATTACGGTAGACATTATTGATTGTACTGTTATTAATATCATTCATCTATCCAATTATTCATTCATTCATTCGTTTATTCTTTTACTTATTCATTCGTTCGTTCATTCATTCGTTCGTTCATTCCAATTACTTTTTAGCGCACCTATGTTTTCAATTATGCTAATAGGACTGACGACAAATTATTTATTTAAATGGATTGATGGACGGATGGATGAATGAATGAATGAACGAGGGAGTAGAGGAGTGAATGATGAATTGATGGACGTTTGGATGGATAGATTGGATGCATGAATGATGAATTGATGGATGTTTGGAAGGGCAGATGGATGAATGAGTGAATGAATGAATGAATTGATGAATGACATAAATCATTCCTTCAGTCATAAAAAAAATCCTAAAAAGCTTAACGAAATGACAAACAAATCTATTAAGCCATGTTAAACCAGCCTGCATTATTTAAATCCTTTCTATGTACGTATACTTTGTGAGTGGAGATCATTTCAATAACATGCTAGATCTTTTTTTCCCTTGTTTTATCTCTCGCTCTCTCT